AGCAGGTCAAGTTACACTCTGACCCTCTGTTCCTTTTGGAAAAAATATTTTTGTGCTGGCTGCAACCCCAGCTACATGCATTTTTGGTGCTCTCTGTTACTGGTCATGAAAATACTGGTTCACAGAGCCAAATGGGTAGGTTTATGAGCATCTATGCTGAGAAACTCCTTGGGATTTTCTCCACAGTGCTGCTGAATGCAAAGAATGACTTTGGCCATCAACAATCTAAAATCAGATGTGATATATCTTCTGGTCTGATGTGGGCTGGAAAGAGAATGTAACCACTACAAGGAAAGACCACAAGGCAGAAAAGGGGCCGGAAAAGCAATGAGCAGGTGGCTGGAGAAAAGTCCACATAAAAGAAGTGCTACTTCCCCTGCTTTATATTACATCCTCTTCTCCACTGGTTTTCCTAATATGTCATGAGGGGCAGTCCCAGGAGTGCTAGCCAGTTACATCACTGCGCAATGAACTGTCTCTATGTTACAATCACTTTGAATTGGAGCTTACAAGTACAAGTGCAAGATGCCACTTCACATGCTTCTCAGAATTATGAGTATTTTTTTCAGCCACTCTTTCCCATTCTAATTTTTAAGCTAATTTTAGCTGAAACTTGTTCTATCTCCTCCTCCACCACCTCCTCAAGCAGGTGAGTATAACAGTTCTGTCATCATACACACTGTTGAAAGCTATGGCGTTTGGGACTGTTACTGGAGAGCTACGTTTTTCAAAGTAAAATGAAGATTAGCTGGTCTGCCCTTCAATTTCAAAATCAGTCCTTCCCTGCAGAAGAATTCTTCCAAAATCATAAAAAAAAAAAAACCACACAAGTAACCAGCATGCCTATGTAATCAGCCCAAGAGCGATGCCAGAGAATAAGAAACTCTGTATCTTCTAGAAATGGTCTATACGAGTCTTAACAGCACAACAGCAGAAGCTAGCACTGCCCCTGGAGGGCCGGGCTGCTTGTTCTCTAGAGAGATGAAATGATTCAGCCATGGCAGTGGTTTCTCAAGCGGTGGTTATGATCTCCTTGCTGTGTGAGAGAAGAGCTCTGCTGACAGAATTAACGTCCTGCTTTGGAGAAGACCAAGAACTACTTAGCTGTCCTCCTGGGAGCATCCTACACAAAGGCAACAGCTGCATGCGTGTCTTGAAAATGAATATGTCTTATTTTTACAAAGAAGCTGCAAGTCCAGGAACGCAAAGGGTTAGTAGTACTTTTAAGAACATCTGACTGTGAAACTATTTTTAGCTTTCTATTCTTGAGGGGCCTTGAAGAAACTTCTTAGTCACTGGAGCCAAGGCTGTGGTGAGAACACACTGGAATGGAACCAAGAATCACACCTTCCCCTCCTCCCCCTTCCACCTGACAGTGATCTTCTATTGTTGCTGTAGTGCTGCTTTTTACACACCAGAAAACCACGAATTGAGCAAGCAGACTGGGAGGTGCTGGCAGCCCCAGATGAAAAATACCATGGCAAGGAGAAGACTGAGGAGGGAAGATGGTGATTGAATGGGAAGGAGAGGTTGCCCATGGAACCCATGTATGGGAAAGAGAAGAAAAATTGGCTGGAAAGGCAAAAGGACAAATAACCCGATCACAGAAAGTAAAACAGAGGTAGATACTCACATTTCAATGGGGGGAATTGTCTGTCCCAGCCAAAACTGGGCCTCTCTTCATGTCATGAACTCCATGTCAGCCCTCCCTTTACAGGTGCTTTTAATTCCCAAACACTGCACTCCACGTATGCAGCAGTATCTCTTCTCATTGCTGCATTGTCCCTTGCCCAAACAATCCAGAAATAAGGTTTGGAAAGTTTGTTTTTTCATGGGAGGATCACTGGCTAATTACGTGATGAACTGCTGGAGACAGCCAGACAGCCTGGGGCCCACTGACAGGACAAAGATCCCTTCTTCTAACCCCAGAGCCAAACCAAACTCAGGCCAGGTGAAAAGAAAATGAAGTCATCACTGTCTGTCTCATAGTAGATGAGAAGGACTGAAGAGTCCTGTGTTAGTTCCTTGTAGGTAGGTAGTCCCTGCACAGAAACCACCCAATGCAATTCCCAACAACTGGTCCCTTTGCCAGCAGTACCAGTGCAGAATGCTCCCCATCTGAAATGTTTCACTAGCATTAAACTGACACAAGTTGAAAAAGACAGGTGAAACATCCTGAAGACAGAGGGACACTGAAAAGTGTGACTAATAAAACCCTGTTTGAAAGGCCAAAGAACAGCTGAACGCAGCAGAAACCTTCTTGAGTTGTGAAGACCTCTGCCTTGTCTCTCAGCACTACCCTTGCCTATAATCACCATATCCAACAGGCAAGAGATGCCAGCACCAACCCGAACATAGGAGTTTATCGAAAGAGCGAATGATGTTCTTAGGGTCAGAATATGTTTATCTGCGCAGATGGTGGGAGACGTTAAGGGACAGAGACAAAAGAGTGAATTTAGCCTTTAATCTTTACTTTTTCAACCGCTCTGCAAACACTACCTTGATGTTCCTCACATCAGCCCTTGTGAAAGGTAGGTATTCGTTGCTGCCATTGCACAGAGAGGAGGCAAATGCATGGGGTTGTTCAATGCCACGCACATATGTCAATGGCATAAGCAAGAGGCAAACCTGAGCGTTCCTATCTCCTGCCACCAAACACAGTGTCCTGCTCTGTGCTCTCCTGCCTCAGGAAGGCTGGAGTCTTGCCCCAGGAACAAAGCCAACACATTAACTGAAGGAGGCTTCCAGGTAGGGGAACCACAGCTGAAACACGAACTTAGGACTCCAGGGAGCATTTAGGGCCATCCCTCATCTTTAACTCTTATAATTTACTACATACAACTGCATCAATGCACCATTTGTACTGTTCTCTGTTGAGACAGAAGGCTCTGCACTACCTAAGTACAAACTGAACACAGGCAACCTAAGTCCGGTTTAAAAGGTTTTCATTAATAGCAGGAAAAATGCCATTGTTGCTTTGTTTGCCAACTCAGCTTCCTCATCTTTAACTAGTCTGTTTTTTCCTTTGCCTTCCCAAAGAGTGCTTAGGATAGATTAGGGCTGCATATAACAGTGCTCTACCTGTTTACTACTACTCGAAGAGCCACGGGAAACACTTGCTCAGCAGCCAGCCATCCCTCAGTAAGAAAGAGCAAGAATTTTATTTCTTCTTTCAGTCCATGCCATTTGTCAAACTGTCCTTTTACTTTCCAGGCTGAGATCAAACAAGCTTTTCATTAGGCTTAAGTCTGCTAAGATCATCAGCAGGAGCTCAACATGAGAAGCTTTTATTTGTTTTTTCTTGGTTAATGCATTCAGGAACGGAATGGAAAGGAACAGAAAAAGAAAGCCCACTTTCTCTTATCATAAAATATATAGTGCCCCTGATTCTGAGTGAGATATTTTAAGTATGGTGCTTTGGAAACCTTCAGATACTTACAGCTTCAACAGCTTTCAATCCGGTCTTTATGTTGTTGACTTCCTTCTCCAGCTCTACCAGGCTGCACAGGAGACAGACACAGAGCAGATAAAACAAAAAGAGCAGTGTTACGCGGGAATACGGGAACTGTGCAGCAGAACAGACCGTTGGCCCATCAAGCCTGGTATCCGGCCTTTGGCACCAGTCCCACCAGATGATTAGAAATGAGGGGAAGAGGGTCTGTTAATGCTCTGTGCTGCTTTTTGTATGAGATGTAAGATGAGGCAGACCCTGCTTGCCTGTGGTGAAACTGAAGATTGGGATTTTCCTGGGAAGAAGAGGGGGGTTGCCCTCAGAACATCTGCCCTGTGAGCTGAGCCTGACCCTCCGGGCAAGGAGCATATACCACATGGCCAGCTTGCAATAATCAGCTGACACATAACCAAGGACTCGGCTTTAGCACACACATCACTGGGGTCTCAGATTAGCTCTACATATGATTCTTGAACCATTTAACTACTTAATCCCATTAGCAGTGTATTTACATGTGATTTTTGTCTTCCTCACAGTCCAAGCATTGTTTTTTCTACTGTATGGTAGTCCTTGCAAGCTTACATTGTAATTGAGCATTTAACTCTACAGTTAATGTTAATACATGCTTCCCTAGACACAAGTGTTGTACTGACTTTCTGCTCATCATACACAAACAAAAGGGTTTTTTCTAGGACTTGTATGAAAACAATTACTTATAATTTCCAGGTAACTGGTTAGTACCTATTTGTGAGTCAGGAGGCATCTCCTTCAAGTGTTTGGTGAGTAGCAGTTTACATTTCAAAACCACCACTAAAGCCTTAATAAATGACTTTAAGTGTGAACCTACATTTATTTTTCACTTGTCTTTCATTAGCTGGTGGTGTTCCCTAGACAAAGAATCATGGCTGGGCAAATAATACGCAAAGGTATTTTTGAGCATTGCTTTGGAAAGAAGAAAATGCTGGTATTTCGAGGGGTGGCTTGTATATTCATTTTCTACAAACACCTACAACAATGGAAAAAAATATCATTGAAATTTGTGCAGAAAGTATGATGCTTTCCAATTTTTGTGCAAGAATTTGTGTAAAAGTTTGAACAATCTTCCTGAAAAGGGCTTACTATAGCCTCTGTGCCTAATTGACTCTGCCTGAGAAACAAACCTTCAATTATCCAGAAAAAATAGCACGCAACATAGATGAACAACCATAGAATATGGTGAGTGAATGAAAATAACAAACAGTCTACTTACAATGTCTGACTCAGAAATAAAGTAGATATAGGCATATCTGAGTAAAGCTGTCAATTTAGTTATCTACAAATGTTTTTGGACCAAAACTATCTGTTGCTGTACATCTAAGTAACATCAAGGATGTGAGCAAAGGCATTTCAGCTGAAAGGCTGGCCATGAGTTTAGAAGACAGCAATGAAAAAAATGATGATCATTAAGTTAACTGAAACCACTGGGAACTCCAGCTCTGGGAACAATCAAAAGCACTGGACTTACTTGACTTTTGCTGCTTCTGGAAGATGCTGCAACTCAGATTGAATATCAAGGATATCTGGATAATTCTTTTCAAAGATCATAATTAAGTAGTGCAGCAGTGTAATGTTCCTAAAAAAAACCCAAACAAAAACAAAAACAAAAAGAGAGAGAGAAATGAGAATGAGGATGGTAGTGAGAAGGAAAAGGATGGTGGGAAGATTGTGACAAATCAGTGAAAAATATTATCACAGAATCACAGAATCTTCAGAGTTGGAAGGGACCTGTGGAGATCATCTAGTCCAACTCCCCTGCTAAAGCAGGATTGCCCAGAGCACATTACTCAGGACTGCATCCAGGCGGGTCTTGAACATCTCCAGAGAAGGAGACTCCACAACCTCCCTGGGCAGCCTGTGCCAGTGCTCTGTCACCCTAACCGTAAAGAAGTTCTTCCGTGTATTTGAATGGAACTTCCTATGTTCCAACTTGTGCCCATTGCCCCTCGTCCTGTCACTGGGAACTACTGAAAAGAGACTGGCTCCATCCTCCTTCAGCCCACCCTGTAGATACTCGTATGCCATAATAAGGTGTCCCCTCAGCCTTCTCTTCTCCAGGTTAAAGAGTCCCAGCTCTCTCAGCCTTTCATTTCCTATTTGGGTAGGAAATGTGCTTGATGGAACAAAACAAAGAATATATCAGCAGTTAGCAGCTCTGTTATTGAAAAAAAGTACCACAGACTGAAGTGAGTTAGCCCTTTATGAACCATCCTTCCTAAAATTTCAAGCAATATATTGTGCTTTGATTTATTCTGGAAGCACCAGCATCCTTCTATCCATCTGCGTAGATGGTGTAACAGAAAAGAAAATTGTGTAACACAGTATACTATTTGTCCCCAGATCCTTTAGAGAACAAACAACTAATAGTACTGAAGTGACATTAAATCATCACAGAGAAGTGAACTGTTCTCAGAGTCAATGTGGAAAAAACCTAAGTGTTAATTAAGAAAAGGGAAAGGTTCTTGAAGAATGAAGAAGCTGCAAAGAAAACTTGTACAGTAATGAGACAGCTATACTTGTGAGTAGTGGTCTACTTACTCACTACTACAAAAACAATGGCAGCTCAAGTAGGAGTGGGTAGAAATGAGATGTATGAGAGATGCAGGAGGAGGTTTAACAAAATTTGTAAAGTAAATGATGAATTTTGCATCAGTGAATTTTGCACATAGAGAGAACAGCCAGCCATAAGAGCTACTTGAGGTGGGTGTTATGTGGTTAACTGACAGGCAAGACAGCAGATGGCCACTGCTTCACACAGACTAGAGCCTGGGAACTGGTGAGAGAACAGAATATGCACAGGACATTTAATACATGGAAAATCAAGCTAAGCTACATTAAGGCAAAAAAAATGTTCAACGCTAGCTACACAAGTGTTAGCCTTGGAATACAGAAAGCACATCGTAGTAGTCAAAACAGAACTCTGTTAGTTCAAACTCTGTTAGGTAGGGATGAATTTCCTAAGGCTTCTAACTGCTATTATTCATTCTGTCACAGTCTGAAGTCATTTCACCACAACTATGGTCTCAGCAGGTCTCACAAGTCAAGGAAGGTGCGAGTCAGTAAGAACCAGTATAGGAGATCACCAAGGAAAACCTTAGTGCTGCTGGAGCCCAAAAGTGATATTCTCTCCCCAGCCACAGCTGGATTAATTTCTAGAACCAGTATGGGGATGTAGGGCAAAACTTGGGGTAGTACTATAAAGACCTGCAGCCCCTGCCCATAAGTAGTAAGCTCTGCCTTCTCCAAACCAGCTATTTTCCTTAACTGCTCTCTGAGCTATGCCTTGTGGTTCCAATACTGGTGTAGGTAGAGAGCCAGTTTATGACAGTCCTGCAGCAGAAACATATGCCATGTTTCACAGGAGACATAAACTGTGGTCAGAGGTTTTTGTGTTTTCTTTTTTGCAAAACCATGGCCATAAAACTTTGGTATAAAGGGCAAATTCCATAGACATCCTTCCTGCCCCCCCCAACTTATTTCAGTTATTTGTGAAATACTACATTTTGTCATCTTTGCATAGAGTTGCAGAAACACAATCCAACAACAGATGCACATTATCCAAAGAAACAGCAGAATTTGAGTGCTGTGTTAACAGGCAGTCTTAACTGCTGCAGGATCTTTTACAGTGAAAAGCACTACTTAAATACCAAATACAACATTATTTTAAAAGGTCTGCAGAGCTAAAAACAAACAAAACCCACTTTAATTGCTACGATAGGAGATGCAGCAGCACAGTAACTAACTCATTTATGGCCTTCTAGCCTACCTGTCTATGCTGGATTTGGTGTCTGCAATTTTGTTCAGGCTGGAGACTTTGAAGCCATAAGCACTTCCCCTTTGGCCTTTGTTCATATAATTCCCAAAGGCCAGAACTACCTCCAGAAGTTGCCTCAAACGCTTGCTTCGGATGAGTTCTTTGGACGCCAGAAGAATGGCTTGAAAAGAGAAAAAAGATTAACAGGTTATTGCACAGTGGCGGTTTTAACATGCTTTGTCCCATAACTTCAAGTACCCCAAAATACCCATCTGACTATTGCCCAGCAAATGCTGCAACACAATCAGTGTTTGTACTCTCCTTCCCGCACCCACATGGCCAGAACCAGGACAACTGGAAGGAAGATGCACTACATCTAGCCTGTAGGATGCTCCTCTAAACTCAGAAGCAAGGCTGTTCTCCTGGACCTCACACTCTAAAAACATAGCCAGCAAGAACAGGGGGAAGGCTTGAGCTCACCTGAAAATGCAGGCTAGAATACACTCACCTCTTCTCTGTCATAACCACCGATGTGGCACAGAAGCCATACACACTCCCTCCTTGTAAGTTACGCATTCCCAGAATACCACCATCCTGAGGCATCTGTTCTAACTGCCCCATGGAGAGGGAAGGTGCAAGGACTTGGGGTTGAGAAAGGAAGGTGGAGCTGCACAGAAGGGCCATGAAAGCTTTTGGCAGCTCAGCACAGCCTGGTAGTACACTGTCACATCTGTCGAGTCATATTTACAGCGTGACAATCATGAAACTGACATTATTAAGTCAATGGGTGCAAGAAGAATGTCAGAGAGAATTCATTTCTTAGCACATGCCATGCCTTGGACTCACTGGCTCTACGACCATAGCATGCATGTAACAGCACCTCCTTTGAAGACAAGCCTCTCTTGACTTTCCCTGCCCAACTCTTAGCAAAAGCTTTAACCATACCTTCCACTTTTGGTTTTGCTTCTGCCAGCCTCTCTGGAAACTTCTTCTTAAAGAATAATGCTTGCAGCCGCTGCTGATAGTGGTCAATCCTGCATGAAGGGTAGAGGAAAGCCAACACTGAACTGGAACTGTATTTTGAAGCTCAGGGCCAGTATGCTGCCTACATAATCTAATGGTTGGATATTGAGTCCCCCAAGGCCTATGCATGGGATTACAGACATAGTTCAAACATCTAACACTACATAATCAACCTTGTTATGAAAGTGGAGGACCTCAAGGCATGTTGTGATCACAACTGAAAAGAAGCTGGAAGAATTCCCATTATTCTCAAAATATGAGTCATGGGAGATGCCAGCTGTATCTCAATTAGCAGAAGAAGATGTTAATCCTGATCGTAGAAAAGTTGAAAGAAGAAGAAAAGTCAGAGGATGAGGAGATGAGATAGCTGAATGGAAAAACGGATCTATATGAAATCCTGACCCCTGGCTACACTACATCTGATAGCTGGATCTGAATTCCTTTTTCTGTGAACAAATTTAGGCAGAGGAGGCAGATTTCTGTTTGTCATCAGGGGACTGGTCCTTAAATGACAGCACGGAGAGTGCTTATCATCAATAAAAAGTTTGTGTAATGAACGGAAACATTTGTAACATTTGTGGGCTTCTGGCAAGTGCAGGGTATAATGCTGGCCCACAATCTCTTGCACATTCCCCCTCAGTGCCAGATGATCCATTTTCAATAACAATTACAGCTGCTTCCAAGAAGCCTTCAGTGCACTTTCCCATAATGTATCAAACAGACCTGCTCATTTCAAAGAGGAAACGATCCGCCCGGGCCATGCGCTCAATTTCATGTTTATGCTCCTCCAACAGGTCGGTATCACTCTTTTCAGGAACAAACTTCAGCAGCTAGAGTGACAGACACAAACCAAACACCAAGGTGAGAGATCCAGGGAAGAGGAGTGAGGAACAGAGAGCCACAAAACAACCCTGATGGAGAGAGAGAGGGCCCTCAGATTTCTCTGTTACCATGGGGAAGCATTACATTGACTCAGCCATGTGACCGTAACTTCAAAAAAGTGCAGCTGTGGTGACAAAACTGACCTTTTTAAACCTTTGCTTGCTGTTCTGTCTTTATCCCTCACTGACCCCATTAGATTAATTTTTAATTCTGTGGGGAATTTCCCATCTCTAAATCTGAAAGACCAAGTGCTACTGCAACTTACCCAAGGGGAAGTACAGAGAGAACTTTAATTCCCACAGCATTACTCGGAGTTTAGATTGGTGCAAACAAGAGCAGGATGTGTATCACTCAGTGTGAAGTACCCATCGTGCCTATCCCAGAGTACACACAAAGCCTCATCTATCTCTCTCTTGGGTCTGCCCTACTCCGCTGAAACAATAAACAATAACTAAGCAACTGGACATGTGTGTGACACTGGCTGTTATTCATATGCTGACCTTAAAAGCTCATACTTTGACAGATTTTTGACATATCTGGTGGTAGTAGTGCTTTAGTATGGTTATAAACATTGCCATGCACACAGCCTCAGCGCACACCCACAAAAACTGCTCACAAGGCATATCAAGCCCTTTGCTTTTTACCACTTTTTAATATTTTATCCCACGCCCCCAAAATGTTATATTCAAAGGTGTGGAGCATCAGAAGCTTGCAGTGACTTCTAGAGCAGCTGTGAGCATTTAGATAACATGACAAGCAGGCTATAAATTTCCAAAATGGAAAAGCTTTTTGTACACAATTAAATACTGTGACTGTACACAAAGGAGGAATCGCATTTGTCAGGCAATTCAGAATTATAACATTTTGCGCACTCCTAAGAAACTTTATCACATGCATCTTTGGTCAAAGCATCATCTTTCACCCTCTATAAATGGGGGAAATTGGGCAATGGAAGTTTAATTGTGGTTGCTTTTTTTTTTCCTCACAAGTTACACAGTGAACCAACTGCAGTGGACAGAAGTCCCTGACTCCCTTTCTAACCATTCTAGTTAGAATGTGAGATCCCTTCTAGTCCCGGCTCTAACCATTGACCTACGTGGACTGGTTCGTGGTACTTCCCAATGGAAAAGCTGCAGGCATAGAAGGGCGATTAAGAAAAAGAAAAGAAAGAAAGAAAAGAAGAAGAAGAACAACAAAATCAGCAGTATAAAGAAGAGATGGTAAAAATTACGGGAAAGTCACAGGTGAGAAGAGAGGACATGAAAGGAAACCTCATACCAACTGTAATCATGCATATTTTGCATGAAGAAGAAAACTGTTACAAAATCAACCTGATACAAATAGAGTTACGTGAGAGAGGTATATCTGACAACATTGGGAAAAATACTTTTCTCGTGCTCCCATGCATAGTTCCAGTGACACGACAGATCCAAGTTCAGATCTGCAGACATAGCAGCAGAACCTGTATATATATCCAGATACTTTAAGTGAAAAAAAGGCAGTGAAGGACTTAAGAATAAGATATATCTGACTGCAATCTTTCTCACCTGCTCAAGCATATCTTTCGCTAGGTCTTCTTGTTCATCCATCTTCAAGATTGCTTGTCTGATTTCTTCATTAGACAGCTTCAGCCTTTCAACAGTATCAACATTGTACCATTAGTGCAAAGCTTAAGTGACTCTGATAGTTCAGAAAGCAGGAAGCCTGAAAAGCTGCACTAAGAAGTTGGCATCCGAGAGTATTCAGGAAGATGAATGAATCAGTTCCAAAGGCAGAGATTTTATAGATCATGTATTTTTATCCTCTTCAGCTAATCAAACACACCCCAAAAATTAGACGGTGATTAAGAACAATCAGGTCCTCATAGACCAAAAGTGCTTCCAACTGGCCCCGTATCAGATACCTCCTTCAGCAAGTTCTTTTGCTATAGTAAACCCCCTCAAATCCATGTGAATCGTAAGTGACTGTGAGCCTGTGTAACACCCTGGCCTGTGAATATTAAAGCATCTCCCAGCGTAACAAAGTAATGGGACTGATCTTTCCCTTACAGATCCGAGGAAAGGGTTTCTTGTAAGACGACTGGTTGCTCTAGGTAAGTTCGCTCCATCAGTGGTCACCACTGAAGAAGGAATTGACAGCATCTATGTATGCATGTTTCACATCCAATATGAAACAAGCTCTGAAAACAAAAGCTTATTAACATTATCTGAGGTATTAAAATGACACTCTCTTTCCCACCTACTCCTGTCCATCTGTGTGTGATAAGTAGGGGTCATCAGTTACAACAAAACACAGAATTAGTTAAAAAAACTCAAGATTTCCACTTGAAATCCAGTGCAAACCAGGAGAAGTCAAAATTTGTGATTATTGAGAGGCTGTTTGATAGATTACATGAAATGAATTTTGTGGTTCTCAGTAGAGCCGTCAATGAAGAAATGCACAAGTGACAAATTCTACCCCACCACCGCCAACCCATGGCACCCTCTTCAGTCATTTCAGGAGAGTAGGGCAGGATCAAATGAACCATAAAGGAAAGGCTAGCCACAAGAAAATCTCGATTTTGGGACTAAAATGGGGAAGTGTGAAAAGAAATATTTGAGCAGTGAAGTCTGTAGTCTCCATGGACCTTCTACAATCAGCATCATTAATTAACATCAGAAAGAGAAAATGCAAATATAAATGAGACACAGGCTAATACATGAAGGAGAATGTTTTTGCCTTCAGTGCTAAGAAATTCCATGTTGAAATTTCACATTGCTATTGCCATTTGGACAGAATCATATTTTTGGAACTAAGTAAAAGCAAAAAGAAAGAGCTTTATTTTTACAGACAGGAAATATTACTAAACCTAAGAAACTTAAAACATTTTAATATTTCCCAATATAACCAACAGCTGGAAACTAAAATATGAATCAGCAGACATTCAAAAGTTTTTCAATATAACACCTCTGAACTGATCGCTCTCACTCTGTCCCTAGCTGGTCACAGTGTCTACTTTTGACAAGGAGGGCAAACTGATACCAGCTAAGTAAGACTGAATTTCCAGAAAAGCTACATAATTGGGCCACTCTTGGATGACATATAAGGATTAGAAGTTTTACAATGCAGAGTCTGGAAACTTTTTACTTTAGGTCATCAGTTTGACTGAGGATCAAAACAACAAACCTCAGTACATGGGGTTCTGCATAAAGCTCTACAGTCTCAATTAGAAAACTGAAGGGTTTCTTTTGGCTTTTAATAATCATGAATTGTAAATTCTATGGTTGTGTGACCCTGAACTGATCAAACCCTGTGACAATATGAGGGCTGAGAAACATATTGGTGGGTGTGGGCCTGGCTCCTAGCAGACACATACACACATGCCCAGACAATTTGGTGCCTGCAGTTTTTGAAGTGCTACATTTTGTTGGTTATTTTTACTTCAGAGAGCACCTTTACATTTTCCAGAATCTGGACTCCACAGATGAGCTCTGCCTTGTGACAGAGGCACAGAGTCTGTCAGAAGGGATGCAATAAGCCAAGCCATGAATATCAAGGTGGGGTTTTTTTTTGTTGCGGCTTTCACTGAAGAGAAAAAGAATGAGGGCGAGTTTCATGTTTTTTCCATAGAAATAGCTCAAGCAATTACTACACCGACCACTCCATTACACAGTGCAAGTACCTCTGTGTGTGTTTGAGGATACAGCGAGCAGGACCAAATAGACAGGTCTGAGGTACGTCAACGCAACAGAAGGTGTCGCGCATATTGTTGCTGATCTTGCTGGTCCTTCCAGGAGCCCAAGCACTTCAGACTCCAAACTCCTCTGTTTGCTGCCATTCATCAGCAATAAATACACTTGAAAACATCTTCTGCTCAAAAATAATTGAGAGCCCCAAGGACAGACAGTTATACAAACACTTTGATTTCTTGGATGAGTCTGTGCACTGTCATAAGCAGAAAAACATCTGGCTTGAATGGTTTAGCCCACAGTAGAAAGAAGCAAAAAGCGTGCCAGTCCCCTGCTGAGAAGCAGTTTAACTTAGTCACTTACAGGCCTGTAACGGGGTCATGGTGCCTGCAGGTGTGCATCCTAGATTATTACCAATCCAATTACAAGTACAGAAGGATTTACGGCAAAAGAATCTTACTCTTCCAAAGTGGGCTCATTCCTTTTCTGGAGCAGGACGCGTTTCAAGAGCTGTAAGCATCAACAGCACAAAACAAGGATCTTCCCACTTGAAAACTGGCTGAATAACTGGCCAAAGAATTGTTAATCAAGGGATTCTTCTTGTATTTTCAAAACTCATGCCCAGCCATGCAGTAGATCTTAAAGATGGCTAGTGGTAATGTGAAACAGATGTGCTGCTTTTAAACAGAAACAGGTGAACTGATTAAAGAAGAACCTAAAGCAGATGTGTAAAATCTTTCCATTTAGAACTGAATAGAGGCATCCCTCAGAGCCTAAAACTCATATGGGACAGACAGCAAATTAAAGGGGAATTATGGCCCAAAAAATTTACACTACAGAAATTACATTTCAGTATCTATTGGAAAGTCTGCCATGGCTTTCTTACAAGCTTTGCAGATGTAGGCACTCTTCCTCCAGCTGCTGGAGATAACTCAATTCGGAACAGCATATGATTCAGGCTGTATTCTCTCTCCCTTACGCTTTACCAAATCATGGATCCTGGCATCAGAACTCAGGAAGTAAATGTGACCAGAGGAAAAGAGGGTGCCCCTTTCCTCAGCTGCAGCATGTTCACTGACTGCTTTTGTTTAACAGTAGCCTGACACTGGTCAGATGAGGAAGGAAAAGGATCTTTACTAAGAATATTCCCTCCTTCTTCCCTCACCCGTACATCTGGTGGCAGCATATGGAAGTCCAACTGCTTGAGTCATCTTCAAGCAATGTTAAAGCTCAACAAGTACCAAATAACTTCTGATATGGTACTGAGCCTGCCTCCCTCTATCCCCTCTGGCTTCATAAATAATCTCTATTGACTCTGCAGAGTAATTCATCACTAATCTCCCCAGGACACCTCGGCTGATTTAACACCAGCTTCACTTGCAGACATCAAGTGGTTTATTGTTTCGTCCTCTTGGAGAAAGCTGGCAGCCTGACTCTGAACATGCCTGGGAGACATGTTGCCATTTTACATCAGCTTCCCTTACAGACATCCAGTGCTTGCTCATTTTTCCTCCTTAAATATACCCATTGATTTAACTCACATTAACCTCCCCCTTTCATTCCTCCCTCCCATGGATGAAAGCAGAATACTTGTCGCTCATTAACCATGTCCCCCCCAGAGGAAAAAGTGAGTTACATCACGGGCTTGTTCCTTACATCTTGCTTAGCTTTTGAGAAAAAAAGCATACTTGCATACTACCAGAGAACCCCGAGTTTCACTGCAGCTACATTAAGCTCCCAGACCACAGGCATCACAAACCCACTCTTCCTTTTATCTTGGAGAAGGGGACTGATTATCACGTGTCAAGGCCATTTGCTACTTCAAACTGAACTGAACCACAGTGCTTCCAAAAGATGCCGTCAGTAGTAGCTGTGACTGTGAGAGGCACCGACTGATACTTCGCTGCATCCTAAGGCCAGTTTGTATAGCTCACTCAAATCTTAGCTTTTACTGACTGCAGACTTTTCCTTCTCCACAACTCATTTCACACAGGCTACTAGTCAATTCACTCTCAAACTTTTGACGGGGACATAAACCTTCTCTAACTCCTGAGCTCTCCTAAGCCTCTGTACAACTGCCAAGCTACTGGCTGTTAAATATCTACGTTTTGGGAATACTCATTGTCACTACCCCATAAAGGCAGGAAAAGGAGATGTTTCCCTGCTCTCAGAGAAGCATTCAGGAGTTAGGCTGGTCTAACTGCATGTTCACCCAGAGGACAGAAAGATGCAGCCACTCCTTTTGCATCCTCTTATCTCAGCTGCCAACTCATCTCGTCAATGAAGACAACAGTGCCTTAACCTTTTGGGGACAACAGTTGGGACATTTTACCAGGTATATCTTACACCATTATATCAACATGTTGGGAAAAAATCCATCAGTGCCTTTTCAGCACTTGACACTGAAAGTATTCTGCCAAGTGCTTAAAGAATTAGGCTTTTCTTCCTTCAGCAGAAGCTCATGAGTCACCAAGCTACTTTGCATCCAAATACTCTCAATTTCTTACCAAGAAGGATCTGGAAATGGCTGTCTTTCTGAGCCAAGCAGAGCAAAGCAGGGCCAAACTTGGAAATCCCCAAATCACAGTGATATATTGATGAGGCAGTGATTCACCTTTTATCACAACCCTACCTACTGGTTCCTAATTGTGATATAGGACAGGATGGCACCAACTGATGTGCTCAGTTTAACCTTGGCATTTATCATACTCAGAATAGCAGGTAAAGCCATTGATTGTGGACCTTAACTTAAAAACAGAAACAGTCCCCAGGAACCCAGGATGCACTGTTTATTGTCTGGTATTTTTCAAGACGGCACACTGAGGAACTGAACTGCTGAGTCCAAGGAGCTGTTTCTGTACCAAGGTATGTTCTGTACCCCAAAATATCATACTGCTCAGAATCTACCTTGAAGTAAGGGTGAACACTGTGCTGTCACATGGCAGAAAGGCACACAGGGGCTGGGGGCAGAGCAGAGGCATTACATGTACACTGACGTTGGCTGAATAGCTTGTCCTTTTAATGACTGAACTGAAAGGGTTTAGAAGCACTGAGGAGGCACAGCTATGTGAGAAAAACACTCGATCTCTTTAGCATTCTGGTTGCAAATGCTGCACAAGTCCCTTTCCTTCTCCCTTACTGACAGATATTTGCATTGACAATCATGAAAGCCACAAACATTTGGTGAAGCTGCCTGCTAGTATCTAGCTACTGTCATATTCACATTTGAAACTGTTTTTGTGTAGTCAGATTCTGCCTTCTGCTACTACTGGTTTTATGGCATTTTGCTAGCACTCATACTGTTTCCAGCCTCTTGAGAGGGTTACTGCTGACTAGCTGGGCCACAGGAATAACAAACACATCCCAGAAGAACACTGACATAATTATTTTGCTGGAATTCATGCAAAATAACTTGCACAAAAAAGTTTCATAAGTATATGTTCAGCCTTCTTCTGAGCAACGTGTCTCATAGAATTGCACCTCTCCAGAGCATTTCACAGAGAAAGACAGTAAGAGATACATGTCTTAGGCATGTTCTGCAAGCACCATTTAATGTTCTATGAGAACATTTAAAGATATGGTACAATAAAAACACTAGCGCAGCAAAAATACTACCAGTTACTAAAGTAATGGAGGCAGAGAGAAGTCATACTGGTGAGAGAGGTCAGAGAAATTTCCAGCTGCTAGGTGAAAGCAGGGAAATGCAGGGATCTGGGGTGATGCTTCCAGACCACACAAATCTGACAGTAAATCTCCAGCCTAGTAGAAACTGAAGACACCAGGAAATTCATGAGGGATAGCAGATTTCCAGTGTGACAGCAATAACTGTATGTTGGAAACACCATTAAGAAAGCCAGATTTGAAGCTGGTGGGTGTCTAGTCTCATCACAGACAGATGGTTCCATGTCCTGGTTGAATTATGGCCTACTGGAAATACTGTGAGATAAACTGATCTCGTGCCTATTCAAACCTTTACAGTTGGCCTATGGGACAGAGCTTTGTTTTGGATCCATCAGATTCCATTAAACAAGGACAAGTACATCCTTTTAGCGAAACTGAAAGATGCTGCTATCAAGGAGGTGAAACAGAGCTTTTTTAAGAAAAAAAGAGATGAGAATGGGGAAGAAGGCTTACAAATCTGTTAACTGTCAGCAAAAACCAGCTAGCAATTCAATTTTCATCTCTTTTCAGTCTACCGTGCTCCAGTCTCTCTGCAAGAGAAAGCAAGAGACATCTATTTCTCACTCTAGCTAGGTTTTGGCTTGTTGGACCACGTGAAATATGAGCTCTGCCTGACCCCTTTTAACACAATGTTAGTAAAACAAAAACATTTGAGTAGTGGAGGGAAAGAAAACCCAACCCATGCAGCTATTTTACTTTAAAGGACACGACAGTTTAGTGTAAACAAAGGGGGAATAAACTACAGGGATATATGCACAGTAAGAGTCAATTGGAAACAGCTGTTGGCAGATACTGTGGCAACCTGAAAGCTGGGGCTCAGGGTTGCACAAATTCTCTTTGTTTGTCACCAGTTTTAAATCCCCTCTCATTGCATGTGTGTGCACACACGCACGTGTAAGGTGCGCTGCAGGAGCAGCAAGGGCATGGCAGCAGCCAGGGATGATTTAGCTGGGAGTGTCTCTCCATCAGGGTTTAACCTAAAGGAGGAAGAAACGGGGAAATGAAAAAAACTGCAAAGGGGTCGTAAACCTCTTTCAATTATTGTCTGCAGCCAATCCTCCCAATTGCTGTCTTTAATAATAGAACCATATAAGCACAAAGAGCAGAAAAAGGCATGAATGTAGAGCTGCCATTTTAGTTCCCAAAGATTTTTGCTTTCCTAGTTGCCTTTAAAAGGGAAGTTTGGGGAGGGATAGCAATCCTGGGCCGAGCTGTAAGACATTTCTGATATCCTGGGTGTAACACTATCTGTTACAAACCTTAAATGATCTAAGACAGTGATAGCCCTGGTGACTGGCGTTTCCCATAGCGTAGCACAGCAAAGTTAACAGGGCACAACGCAAACTTCAGACTCTTTAGGGACAGCGAGCTCAGTCTCCAAATCTCTATCATCCGTGTCAGCCTGCTAACAATAAGATCACGGCATTTCCTAGTGGAGAGGTTGGCAGTCACAAAGCAAAGCTTTTCACCTCTGTTTTGACTCCAGACTAGCAGCTTGAGGTGGACTGGCTTTGTGGCACACCTGGAGCGAACACACGCTGTGCACGCTGAAGTGCAAGGGTCATGCTTCAATGCAACTTTGCTAGAGGCAGCAGAAGGGAAGACAAACCACAGAGACTGTCCTTTCTCTCTCACCCTTTAGAGAGGATTTCTCTCAGGTGGCTGCTGCAGCCATCCACACTGCTGTTATTTTGGAGATAGAAGATTTTTACAAATAAATATCTAGTGTCATACCAAGTCATGGACCACCTTCCTGGATCCTCCTCAGCCCAGCCACCTGCACACATTAAGTTACCACTTCTAGGAAATGTTCCACATGCTTACATGAGTTAATCTGAACCCCAGACACACTTTAGCAGGTCTGTCAAACAGCATGAAAATCCTGTTGCCCCTATGCCTCCCCATTCCTCTGCCCCAGCCTGCAGTCAGCTGCCAACACCAGCAAAGACACGCATTGGCAACTGCTGCAGAGAGAGAAATGTAAACCTTCCCTCATTGCTGGTTTGGATGGTGGGGGTCCCGCTGACATGGAGGCTAATGCCACATAAGTAGCATAATGAGAGTCTCCATGGGTTTCACTAAGCAATGGAAAGAACTCACTCCGGTCCTGGTGGTCTGGCTGCAACTTTGCTTTTAACTGTTAGTTTGCTAGAGCAGACAAGCAATCACATCCATATCAACCCGCATTTTCTACTGATCGATGAAACAGTTTTATTGCTCAGTACTGCCACAGCTTTCCCAGGACCTGTCTCCAGCCCTGCTGTCCCTCCACTGGCAGGAAAGGCAACTTTTGCAGGCGGATCAGTGTCTGCACAAATTTGATGTTTAGTGACAGACATCCAGCCTATTACTCACGTTGGTAGAAAGGCATGAAAAGCATATAAAGGGACCTGATGTCACAGCATTTGAAGGCATTAGAGTCATTGCAGGAGCATTGCAGGAGCATGCAAAGGCAACTCCTGACTTCCAAAACCTCATTTACAAATACAAGACCTAATTCTTGAATATCTCTTTTTACATTAACCACTCTTCTCACCGAGAGTCAAATATAACAAAGATGAACACCACTCTCAGCTCTGCTGTATTCCAGGGAGATGTTCAGAGCAATGTTTAGAAAAAAAACATACAGAACAGACAAATGACATACACAGAGCATGGGGAACACATCACTTAGAGTGAAGTGCAAGCGCCGCCAATGAGCTGCTTTGATCTACCTATAAGTACTGATAGTTTTCTGGTGATGAGTCTTCAGATACATCTTGGTGTCTATGTCTATCTGTTTAATGCAGAAAATGTGTGTGTGTGCATGTGCTTAAGTGAGCTAACACTTCAGAGAGACGTGCTTTTACGATACTGTAAGAGAGGTTTCTCTGAAGCTCTGCCGGTATTAGACAGCAGGTCTAAGTGAGAAAAGAAACATGCCCATTTGTTTAATTCCATCCCCTCTTGCCTTTATGTTGACCACAGGATATTCCGTGAGCTAAGGCTTAGCACACTTACTTGGAAAGGAGAATGACACAATTCTGGGCCCTCCGGCCGTCAATCACAGAGAGCTCTTTCACCTTTCGTGTGGAGAGGTAAAGGTCTTCTGTTGAACCCATCTCTTTCTGCATGTAATTCAAAAGGAGGGGAAGACAATCAGTATCATGTTTCTCACCCAAGACTGATAGACTTAGCTGACTGCAATGAACAAAACCTATCCCAATCTGGGAAAATCCACCCACATGGTGAGAAAAGGAAACAGGAAGGGCAGAAAACATGTAGGTAGGTCCTGTATTATGAGAAAAACAGAAGCCATTCATTACCACCTATAAGGTCATCCTTGATTCCAGATACTGGACCTGATTCTGACCTACTGGACTCACTCTACTAACAGTTATGTTATTGTGCAAAACTGGCATGACAGGGAAATCGGGCACATTATGGTAATGCCCACTGGTGTCACAGCATAACCTTCAGCAGATGCCTCCTACAGGGGTTACACAGCATTCTTGAAAGGCTGCAGCAAAATCAGGGAAAATCCTTCCATCATCTCTTAACACCGCCACTGGACCAGTCCAATACATATAATATGAGAGATGCAAACAATAGGGCAAGATAGCATTTATCTTACTAAATATATCTCACTGAGTGGTCAACATCTACATCTGAACTAGACTCTCTTTTTTAAATGAATTAATACCTTCAATTGCACAGAAACTGCCCTTTTTCAAAGTTCTCTGTATATCCCCATTGCCAAATGTATCACTTGGAAAATCGCCATCCAAAATGTTTGTCACTGCACACGGAAATAAATTATTTGCAAACCCAGTCTGACAATCCAGAAGTCTCTGTCTCCTTATTCTGCCTACACACCAGAGCTATGGGATTTGTTTCACTTCCAGATACTGGCTTTCTGTAGTTACTTTGAGTATCTTTTAACACCATTCCTTAAAGGGAAGTAGAAGTAATGATAAAAGGCTTTAATCCTGGATAATGGCTCTCTAGTTACCAACAGAGATGAGGGAACTGGAAACAGGACAGTTTTTATTTTTCCAGCTAACTGCTGCTGGAACCTCTTCAAAAATGCCTTTCCATTATATCCATATTGCCATGCCTTGAGATTTTGAGATTTACCAATATAATCTAGCTTTGAATGCACCCATCAATTTAGCAACATGGCTTCTTTCTTAGGACATACCAGCGAGCACAGCGAGTCAGATCAAAAATGACCATCTACCACAGTAACCTGTCCCTGAGAGGGGTCAACAGCAGATACCCAGGAAAAGATGGAAGATCACAGCAAGCATACAGGGGTACTTTCCATTATTCACTCCCAGCACTCAAGGTTCTGCAGCTCAGAGCTTACTTATATCAGCATGACTAATCCACTGAAAGAGATTTTGACGCCCAAATATTTGAAAGTTAAGTGAAAATCATAGATTCATACTGCTAGTTGTCATTTGAGTTCTTGGTACAATCAGCTACAATGAGCTGATTGTTGTTAAATGAGCTGTTGCTCTTGAATATATAAAGGATTCCTACAGCCATGTCCAAATGTGCTGCAGTGAGCCACCACCAATGCTAAGTGGCATTTACAACCAGGTACAATGCACCAGCTGAAGACATGCACACAATAGTTCTGCTGGATGTGCCCAAAGTGTCTAGCTTGGCAGAAAAAAAAATTGCAATGTTACTTGATACATCAAATAGTGTTTCCAAAAATAAAGGAAAAATTGGGCATTGGGCAAATTTATTATTTCTGAGAGAATAACCAACAATGCCAAAAGGCAGGGCATACCCAGTATAATCTGGCATGTAGAGATGTCAAAGTTTTCCTGAGTTTCCTCAGTTTGTGGGGAGGAAGTCAGGGGAACAGGGAGATAGGCAGCTGTTGAAGGTAAGAAAGGTACTTGTTGGTCTCTGCTTTTGGTCTAAAAGCTTCACTATCCCTCACTAGGTAATGTTTGCAGACAAGCACACCTGGTTAGTGTTAACCAGCACCCATCCCAAGGAAAAAACCAAATTGTTTCAGGGTTTGACTGTGTGTGGGGGGTGGAGGTTTAGATGGCTTCCCCTAAAGCTGTGCAGCAGGGTTTGGTATAAGAGTCTCTATCCCATCTCCAATTCCCCAGCCCACAAGGTTCAATACAGATGAACAACTTGAACTTTTCAGATGTGGCCCACTCCTTGGTCATAAGGAATGGGCTAGTCACATCTAAAAATACATTCTATTCACCTTATATTGAGGAGAGACATATTTATAGATCCTCAGAGTTGCATGTAAGCAAAAGCAGATGAAGACTCAGGTTTTACCAAAGCCAGATTGCAAGTTTAGCTGAAGGAAAACAGATTGTATATGGACTACCTGCATTTTGTTAGACATAGAAAAAGAGGAGCAAGGGGGCAGTAGTGACTAGTATTTGTGACATAGACCAAACAAAAGAATGGTTGGAGCTGATGTCAACCTGACAGACAAGATCCTTAAGTTTTATCCCATCATCCTTTACAAACTTTGCACTGGGATAACATTAAGTTATGTGCTTCAAAGAGTATTTCAGATTTGAGATTTTAATTGCAAATTCAAAAATCAACTAAAATTTCAGTGCTGGGATGACTAGACATGTGGAACGTGTTCATCATATTGCTGCCCTGTTTCAAATGCAGATTGATTTTGGTTAGCTGCAGAACTTGTGGTCTGGTACCGCAGCAGCACCCTAGGTTCTAGTAATTATAAATACTTTAGGGAAATGTTTCTACCATATTGACATGTTTTGTGGCACGTGCTGCCATGATGAAAGCCAGTAAATGGCCCAGAGCCATGTATTCACCTCACTCAGTGGCAGAGGTCCTGACCAGATTTCCCAAATACAGTTCCCTGAGCACTCATAGTGAGGATTGCTTTCTTCTGAAGCTACCAGAGACACTTGTGAGGACATCTAAACAACCCCCTTCTGAGAGCATCGCTACTCTCAAACACGTTGCCAAGAATCCTGCTTAAGATGATGAATAAACTGAGAGGTAGCCAGTTTGAAGACATGCAGGCAGTTTGATATCTCTACTTCATCTAAACACCATTTCAGTCTTTCACTGAACTTTCTGAGGGTTTCAGCAGTCTGAAAAGAAGTAGGCTTTCCTCCAGTCTAATCCTGTTTCTCCTCAGCTGGCACAAAACCTTCTGCCCAACCAAAGTGCCTTCTGGTTCTACAGAAAGAAAGATTTTCTTTATCAGAAAGTCTGTGGCTAGTGAATACATCTGGAGACTTCAGTAGTGTCCAGAGCAGATGGACCGCAGGTGGAACAGTGGGATTGAAGGCTCCCTGAGCGTCCCTTTTGTTCTCCACTAGAGAGACTACTGCTTTGGTTAAGGAAGAGTTCATGCTCACATTCTACTTTGTCCCTGGTCTTTTTCCTCTGGATCATCAAAAAGGGGACTATGGACACCAGCAGTGAGGTTACAGCTAAGTGAAAGAACAGGAACTACTTCCTATTGCAGAGCTAATACAACTAAAGGAATTTTTTGTACCACCTTCCCCACCCAGAAAGCAGAGGTGCAAGGGCATATGAAAGAGTAGCATGAGATGAGTCATGACCCTGTAATGGCATGATGCAGGACTTCACCTTCCCACATGCTGCAAGAGGAAAAGGGGGCAGACAATGATACTCACCTGCTTACAGGAGGAGGGGTTAGTTAGCAGGTCCTATGCAGGCAGCAGCCGCAAATAACGAGGAAGGAAACATGCCAAAAATTAGTCACAGAGAAAGATATCAAGTTTAACAAGGCAGCTGAATTTAGACACACGCTGTTTTCTAGGAGAATAAAATGCTTAGCAAGTAATACTGGCCCAGATGGTTCAAAGGTATTTCAGCATTTCTTTGCATATTTTAAATCAGCAGATGTTGGGGAACTAAGAGTTCTAGGTCTTTTCTGAAAAGAGTAAATTCAGCCTCCAAAGCATGAATCTCTTAGGTCTTGAAACATTAACTAGGATAATGCTTAAATACCTTTACAAATCTAGTCCAGAGCCTTACTGAAAGAACGTCCAATGTTAAAACTTGAGGGTCAGTTCTCCTCTCCTGGGGCGTGGGCACAGTTTGCCATTATTGCTAACAACTTGTTTCAACAGCATGTTATACCCTTTGACAACTTATAGCCAAGTATTTTGAAAGCACTCTGTAACCACCAAAGAAGCCTTACAGCACTACTGGGTGACAGACTTCAACTATTTCACAACATATTCCATACTCCAGGAAAATACCAGATATACTGAATCAAAAGGTCAATATTACACAGTAAGATTGGAGCAAGGTCAAAAGACAAGTGTAAGAATTCTTGGTCCAGCAATCTGTACACTGGACAATCCTGCTTTCCCTCATAGCCATCAAAAACCATACGCTGGACTTGAGAGAGGAGAAGAGACCCTTTGTCATTAAAAAAAATAAAGAAGAAAGAAAAACTGTTTAATGTAAATGAAAGTGGAAAAAAAATATGAAGATCATGTTAATAACAGCAAAGAAAGAAATGTCTTTATCTGTACTCATTCAACATTTCAGATGCAAAAGAGCAGGGCTTTGCATTGACATTTTTCTTTACAGATATTTGGATGAAGTTTAAAAGTCACAAACCCAGCGTAAACACATACTTGGCCAGAGTGGAGTATTTCCAAAAATAAAAGGGGAGAAAAGACTAAGTGTGAATCAACTGGAAAAGTTCTCTTAAGATTTTGATTCAAAAGAAATTTTGGTTGCCCAGTGTTTAAAAAAAAAAAAAAAAAAAAGAAAATTGATGAGGACTTGTTGATTGGAAACCAGTTCACACTGGAGTTAATATGGATGAAAAAGAAAGTATTAGAAAAAGTAACAACAATGGAATATTTAAGAAGAAAAAATATAACACAAATCCCTCAATGAAAGCTGGAACGGCAGCAATGCTCCTAACTACACAAAAATGCAAGTAGCTTACAGAAGTGACACTCTAGTGGCTGGAGCCACTGTCATAAAGTGTGTTTAATGAGGATGGGAGAGAACTGTTCTGAGACTCATGGAGGTCACTCTGCGATGATGGCTCCATTCCAGTGGGCAGGGGTAAGGGTCAGGTTAGTTTACGGTTGAATGGGCCAGGCTGCTTTTCAGTGGTTGGTAACACAGCCATAAATATTATGATTCCAACTGAGAGTTGGCAAACCAGGACAGCTTTGACTTTGGATTTTGGAGCCCAAAGGAAGCAGTGCTTCGCAAGGTCATTTCTAGTGAGAAAGCTGCAATGTTTGCACCTGAGACACTGGAATGGCACCTTGATGCTGCAGTGGCTACTCATGTGCACAGACAACAGTCAGGCTACTTGCAAGACAACTGGGAGCTCACCACCATAGCTAAGCTTTTGGTGCAGCATCTAAACCCAATCTTGTAACAGCACTGAAATTTCACGTGCCTTTTTTCCCCTCTGTGAATTAAGTTCTTGTTTCAGGGAATGGGATTCACAGAAAGAGAGAGGGACTCACTGAAACAGCAACAGCTATTTGCAGGAGCAGAATGAGAAATGAAATCTCATCACGCAATGGGTAACATCACATTCTCCACAGCTCAAGTTGGGATGCTTATCTAGGTGGCTGTGAGCTAGTAAATCAGAAGAGTTATTCATTACGTTTATTGGATTAGATAGGAAAATGAGAGAGAAGGGAACAGGTGGAAAGGGGTTTGGTTGTTAATTTTAAGGTACTGTATAAGTTAATCATAATGACAATGAAGTAATCATCATCACTGTAAGGCTTAATCATAAAGGCTGCTTATGGCAATCATGGTCTTTTCCTAAAACTCCAGAGCAATGATCCAATTCTGCAGAGTACAAAAGACGGAATTTCTCCAAACATATTCCAAAACCAAAGGAAAGCTGGGGGAGTTCAGGGAGTGCAAGTACAATCTCTCTCCTGCTAAATCTCATTCAGCGGAGACAAACAGATTGAAGGTGACTTGCTTTCCAAGAAAAAGAGGAGGGAAAAAGACATTCTAATAAATGGCTGCTTTTAAAATATGCTGTTTGTGTTATAATCTATAATTCAGACAGTTTCTGTCACCTAGCCAGTTGGGTCAGTTGGCTGTTTAAGAAAAAATAGACAGAGCAAAAGACAGCTAATTCAGTCACCTTGCTCAGTACTCAGACAACTACAGACCTTTTCTCTGGATAAATGCAAGAAATAGAAAGATGGGTATCAAGCATGAATGTAAAGCTCAGGAGCTTTCAGGAGCCACTGGCCACTGAGATCAAATAGAACATTACCTGCTGGGAGCTGTTGTCGCTGAGAGCTGCCCATTAGTATGAAGTATGTTGACAACAGAAGGTTATACTCTGCCCTATATGTTGTTGCCCACTTCTTTTGGTCTTGTGATTTTTTGAACACTGGCAGAACAGCAAAGGATGCAGCCTGACTGCAGGTGGGCAAGGGCCCAGATCACTATCACGTGTTCTTTCCTCCTCCAGAAATTCAAGGAAGACAAGGTGTGGAAGAGTTCACCCCTACCTGGTGTCTCTGATACGCTGAGAACATCTTTTCAAAATCTTCTAGATCCAGCACCTTGAATGCCTTTAAATCATCAATCTCATTCCAGATTGTGCCATGGATCCTCTCCTGAAAGAAAAGTTCATATTTTAATGAGATAGCAAAAGCTTTTAGCTAAAAACATTCAATCCCGTTTGGACAGATCATTCTCTCCTGCTCACTGGCTGTATTCCTATGTACTACTGTTGTAATTTTAGAGGGCACACTTTGTTCAAGAGTCAAAGGAGAAAAAAAAATACTGGTGTATGATTTTTTTTTGTTTGTTTGTTTTTAAACATACTGAGTATTTTGTATTTTTCATCAGAGCAACCCTCTGATGAAAGGGCACATTCCAAGGCTAGCCGACTGCATCTCAAGCAGTATCTATGATCCCACAGTACATTTCCTTTCAAGAGTGGCCATCTCTCTAACACAACGATTGTGGTCATGCTGAAAGAAGTGTCACCATCATGAGGAAAAAGCTTAGGAAGGGCACTGATGCATGACAAGCCCCAGACACATCTTCCTTTCTGCAAATTTTGCCAGGTTCTGTTGTAAACCCCAAAGGGTGTGTGGTTTTCATTTTGCCTGCCTGTGAAAGTATTTTAAGATTTTATTTTATTTTACTTTTGAGGCTCTGAGTCTTTGAAGTCTAATTGGTTTCCACTGTCTACGTGAGTTCTTTGTTGACTCAGACACAAACTATACGCGGATCTCTGAAAGAGCATCATCCGCGCTAACTAGAAATTTTCACAACCCATGTGATACATTACCCTGAACGCCAGGGATCCTAGCCGGCTGGCAGGTGATTAGCATGGAGGGAGACAGGCACAGACTCCTTCTCCAACTTTGCTGTCCACCAACCCTGGACCAAATAAGCTCTCGTAGTACATGAATCAGCTAATCATCAGTCATCCTAAACTAGGAGAAGGCCTTAGGGTCTCCTGCTGACTTTTTCAGGACAGATGTCCTTGCTGGCAAAGAGGACACAGAGACTGAACTACCTTCTTCCTACTGACTGTTAAGGTGCCTGTTGTGTGGGACCAGCTTTGGGCAATTACCCATCCAGAAAACTTGCTCTTCACACCTGACAACACTGTCTTTCAGTTCATTTAGTTAATGAAGTATACATTTATTGTACTTTATTAACTGGGAAAATAAGGAAGGTGTTGATTAAAAGAAAAAGGAAACTGACAGAAGAGATCGTAAAGAGACCTAAGCAAACCCCAGGAGATGAAAGGCCAGCAGAACACTGATGCAGAGAAAGCCAGGCACAGCAAGCAAAAGCAATGAAACCCTCACACAGGCTACAGCTCTAAAGTACCTGACTTGTACCTACACAGCAAAGTGCATTAACACTTCATTATCAGAACTAATTAGGAACAGGCTCTACTTCCCATTCACAGTCATCAAAGGAATGAGGGAAATGTGCTAAGCCACAAGGCTCAAGGAGCAAGGAAAAACACCTGATGGGAGGATGAAATGAAGAGGAAATAAAAGTGTGAAGTGTTCTGGAGGAAATTCCTGGCAGGGCAGACACTGTGGAGGAAAACCAACACCCTCTCTCCAGAGGCAGCCTGTGAGTGCCAGAGGGCAAGGAGGGCTGTCTGCAGTGCTATTTACAGTGAGAGCATATACTAGATGGGAGCAGCGCCCATCCCTGAACAGGCTCACCAATATCATTGTAGCATTCCTTGCAATCACTGTGGCTCTTCTTTCCACAGTAGGAAAAACGTCATGATCCTGTGACTGTAACATGACAAACGAGTTTGGGAGGCTCCTCTCAGCCACAGGAACAGGAGACAAAGTTAGTTTTTGTTTTATCCTAACCCTGGACTCTATTGCCAATCTTAGCCAGAAGCATCCAGGCAGAGTGTTCATTCCCATTCAATTTCCAGGCTGGCTTTATAAACCCTGAGTTATAAATCCCAAGGGATGTATTTGAACAGCAGAACAGTTCCTCACTGTTTCAGATTGTCCCATCAAACACTGAAATGGAAGAATATATCTTGACAGGAGCCAGTGGACGTGACTTCAGGAGCAGTCTTTAGAGCTATCATTGGGATAGAGCCCTGAGGATGCCAAAAAGCTATATGCTGTGTTTGGCAGAAGGCTGGATGTGACTCAAGAGACAGCTGCTCGTGACAGTCTTGCCCATCTTCCAGTCCAGGTGACAAAACTCTCACAGGAGTGAAGTTTCCCCACAAATGGCAAGAACAGTAAAAACGTGCTTCAGAATAGGCTGGTCCAAATGAATTGCAGAGGTGCCAGAACAGGCAGTTCTGAGACTCACAAAGGGGCTGCAGAGAGTAGTTCTTGTCCATACTTTCCCAGAAAAACAATCCAAGGAAGTGAAAATTATTTTCATTTCAATTCAGATCCATTTTAAGACCCAGCTTGAATCTAGTCCTGTACAGGATGGTTTATGTGCTACTTGTAGCAGACAGACAAATTCCAAAACAGCCCCCATTGCAACGGTGTGCACAAACAGAACTTTGACCCAAGCAACCCAATTTTAGTGCTTAAAAACCAAAGGGGCTAATCCAGTCAAAGAAAAAAAGAGGCAGGCAGAGGTATAAAAAACCTTTGTTACACAAAGACTTGCAATGGGGCTGTCCCTTCTATTTCTACCCGGAGCGCTGTCCTCGAAAACTTTCATGTTGCTGCCAGATAATTTCCTACACTGAGCTCTTGCTACTCAGTTATGGATTAACTGGCTGATAGTTCCTTGTCATCAGCCAGAGAGACTGAGCATTTTAAGAGAAACAGACTTGCATAATGTGGTTGCTATGATAAATGATTCCCTTAGCACCATAAAAAATATTTATGGTCCCTAAATAAGAATTTAAACATAAAGTACATTCTTTATTTCTTCTTTCCTTTTTTTTTCCTCTCTCCTTAAAAAAAGGAAAAAAAAAAAAGAAAAAAAAAGAAAAAAAAAAGAGGTCATGTCACCTGTAACATGCTTTTCTCTCCATATTCATTTATTTCTTTCTTTCTTCATTCATTCATTCTACAAGTCTTCCAGGATCTGTGGTTCCTCTGATTTGCAAAGTTTTAGGCCCCTTTGAGAAGCAAATTCTGTGAACTACATTTCCCAGCATCCTCTACCAAAATGGTGGTACATACTAGGTAAGGAAATATCTTATTATCAGAACAAGTATTGACAAGGCATCTGCTCCATCAGGTTCAGTTTTTGGTGTGTTGCATTTAACAATTTGCTCGCTCAGCTGCTGCACTTATGTCATTCCGCCTTTGTAATGAAGCCCAGTTTGCCGAGAGACCTACCAAGATTAGACAACGAGAGTGTTTCATGGAGCTACAAATTGTATCAAGCTTGTCCTCTGCTACTCTAATAGATGATTTTATTTACCCTGAAAGATAAATGGTGATACTCTGCAAGCCACAAAAGTCCATCATGCCTCAATAACTTCACAACATGAGTGAAAACTTACAGTACTTTGGGAAAGCGTTTCATTTGTCCTGCAGGTCCAGAGAAACCATAGAAACTAAGAATGTCCTGTGAATACTGGACCAGGCAATCCTGCTTATTAGTAGATTAATATTTGTAAAATATTAACCATCAAGAAGTGAAGCAACTTAAAATTTTAATTAATAGAATCATAGAATGGTTTGGGTTGGAAGGTTCCAACCTCCCTGCTATGTGCAGGGACACCTTTCACTAGACCAGGTTGCTCAAAGCCCCATCCAGCCTGGCCTTGAACACCTCCAGGGATGGGGCATCCACAACCTCTCTGGGCAACCTATTCCAGTGTCTCACAACCCTCACAGTAAAGAATTTCTTCCTGATACCTAATCTAAATCCACCCTCTTTCAGTTTAATACCGTTACCTTTCGTCCTATCACTACACTCCCTGATAAAGAGTCCCTCCCCATCTTTCCTGTAGGCCCCCTTCAGGTACTGGAAGGCTGCTATAAGGTCTCCCTGGAGCCTACTCTTCTCCAGGCTGAACAGCCCCAACTCTCTCAGCTTCTCCTCACAGGAGAGGTGCTCCAGCCCTCGGATCATCTTTGTGGCCCTCCTCTGGAGTCGCTCCAACAGGTCCATGTCCTTCTTGTGTTGGGGGCCCCAGAGCTGGATGCAGTACTCCAGGTGGGGTCTCACAAGAGCGGAGTAGAGTGGAAGAATCACCTCCTTTGACCTACTGGCCACACTGCTTTTGATGCAGCCCAGGATGTGGTTGGCCTTCTGGGCTGCGAGCGCACGTTGTCAGCTCGTGTCCAGCTTTTCATTCACCAGTACCCCAAGTCCTTCTCAGCCAAGCTGCTCTCAATCCTTTCATCCCCCAGCCTGTATTTGTGCTTGAGATTGCCCCAACCCAGATGAAGGACCTTGCACTTGGCTTTGTTGAACTTCATGAGGTTTGCACCTCTCAAGCCTGTCCAGGACCGTCTGGATGGCATCCCTTCCCTCCAGCATGTTGATCTCACCACACAGCTTGGTATCGTTGGCAAACTTGCTGAGGGTGCACTCAACCCCACTGTCCACGTCGCCAACAAAGATCTTAAAACAGCAGCAGTCCTATTACCAACGCCTGAGGGACGCCACTTGAACATTGAGCTGTTGACCGCAACTCTTTGAGTGTGACTATGCAGCCAATTCCTAATCCAACAAGTGGATTCATAATTCCATTATGAATCTGAATAAGGGATATGAACAGAGTGCATTTTTCAGATTTCTCTCTTGATATCAGATACTTTCCTCAGTGCAAGAAAAACCCACTTTGAGCAAATTGTATTTCTGGCATGTTTGTTAATTGAGACAGCTGTTTCATCTCACTGTAGGACTAGGCACCACCAAGGCTATTATGAGTAGCTTCACACTGAGATTTTGTAGAAATCTTTCCATTAATTTTGAATCTCTGGCAGCAGTCCTGCATCATTGTTTGCCATGATCCTCAGACTGCTTTTAGGAAGAAAGTTCCCGAAATCAGAATCATCAATAACACTACAGAAACATTTAAAAAAAAAAAAAAAAAATCAGTGTCAAAATGAACATTTTCTGTTTATGTGATTTTTTTTGGGGGGGGGTGGGGGTGTTGGGGTTTTGTTGTGTTTTGGTTTGTTTTTTTTTTAAACCATATGTGCTATGTAGAACAAATACCTTTCTTCTGAGACAATTTCACCCGGGTCTATTTTAGGGCTGGCTAAAGAAAGCCCCTTTCAGATCATTGACTAGAGTAATTACCAGCCTGACTCTTAATCGGAAGCTGCTTCTCCAGCCATGAGATACCAAGCAGCGCAGCTTGATTTACTCTAATGACTTCAAATCAATATGTTTATATTTATTACAGAGGTAATTACATTAATCCATACTTCCAGTGTGCCCGAAACCAGTCCATCATTTGGATTAACCATAAATATCTGGTCCCTGTTTGACCTTGGGTATTGTGTAAAATTCAGAGTGGGAGAGCAAACGCCACTTGCTGTCCAGAAACAAAGGAAGGAATCTTTCCAGGACATTACAGTGGTTACACTGCAATATCTTTTTCTTAAAAAACAGAGAACCTTGGCATCAGCACTACTGTAGTGCTGCATGAATGGAATTTGCAGACAATGCTACAGTGCTGTATGAATGGAGCTGTGGTGTGGAAGTGTTTCTCCAGAACTCAGCCCATCCATGCATCTAAATGGCTTTGCCACTGATTGTCAGCTCACATCAAAGCTAGTACAAAAACTTTAATTCTCAAAGGAAATTAGCAGGTTGTTGGAGTTTCCTTGTTAGAAGCACGAATACTTTCCAGTCAAACCTTTTTTCGTGGTGCCCCTGGGAACTGTGGACAATCTGTTACTGTCAACTGCTAAGTTTTAATATATTTGATCATTCTCCTAACACCCAACAGCTCAGTCCTTTACTTCCAAAGACAATATCAGCATTGGGAAAAAAGGTGTTGTGAATTGTTCTGAAGAACAGCCTTGATTCTGCTACTGAGAAAGTGTATCGCAGACAAATCCCTCTCGGCCAGCCCTGTCGACACTCCTTGCAGGGTCTGTTGGCTTTCTCTCATTCCCTCGAGGCAGGCTGCATGGACAGAAAGGAGTTGGCTCTCATGTGGGCTGCCTCAGTCCTGGCATCATCTTCACACTTAAGAAAGCTTAGGGGAGAGACTCTGTACTAACTACTTTGAGAAGGATGGACTAAACAGTATGCAGAGACACCCAACAGCCACATAACATATTTGACCTGGCTGCAGCCCTAAGTTTGTGTACAGCTCTGTTTCCAACACTGTGTCACCACACCTCGCTGTGTTGCGTGCTGCAGACATGCCGGTGCTCTTTGCTAACTAGACCAGTCTTTTAAAAAAGAAAAACACACATGTGGTGTCAGCTGTGTTTTTCCTCAAAATGTTTTTGTGGGGAAAACTTGTATTCATGTGAACTGGAAGTTAAACACTACCACAAACCACAATAATACTATGCACACTTCCAGGCCTTAGTTCCCCATGCTCAAAAACTTGAGATATGCTGCTCCCAGCCAGTACGCTTGTTGTGAGTCTTCATTCATTCATGTATGGCTACTTTGGCAGTTCAGGAGAACACCACAGAAGTGCTGCAATGGTAGCAAAAGGCAAGATGAGGCCATCCACCCTACCTATGACTTTGCATTCAGAGGATTCATATCCATATGAACGGAAAGAAAGTGCCCGGTACTGAAGCAGGGAATCTAGAATAACTGATGAAGACAGCCAAAACCTATTGCCTCCTCCAGCAGTCAGTGGAATTACATAATTCCATAACAAAGTGCATCCCAAATAACAAGGCAAGCCATGTGTGGCTGCACCACAACCTCTGCAGTTTTGCAGAGACTTTACTAAGTTAAAACACTAACACTGGCAAACACCCCAAAATGAGGCCCCCACCCTCTCATGTCCCCTTTTCCAACTATTCTGCCTTCCTCAAAATAGCATCTTTTACCCACCTCACCACCCAGGTCTTCAATTTTATTAGCACAGCTGCCTTCACTCCTAACCAGAGGGCAGGATAAGCCTACAGTCACTGTACACTAAACAGAAACACCTGTGACTCTCTCTTTTTCATATACATTCATATATATATACATATATTAGTTATTATTTCTTTTCTTCAGAGCACTAAGTCCCATGTTCTGCAAAGGAAAATAAACCCCTGTCCTTACATTCTCTCCCACACCCCCCACGTGGCCTTGACAGACAAGCACAGACGGTGCAGCAAATATTTCACTTCACTTTATTTTAAAGAAAAGGAGAGAGGGGGAGAGAGAATTCTTGTGGCATTCCAGAGGTCCCTGGACACTCATTCCAAATGCCAGAGTTGGGCCCTGGGTGAGTTTCAGTCTAAAAGAGAACCTGGGTTTCTAGGCAGCCATCCAAACTCAACACAGACACTTTTTTTCTTTCTAAATCAGTTTAAAAAAATTAAGACCTGAAGAGAAGGGGAGATGGAAAATAAAAAGAAGACAGAGAAGGAAGAGAGAGAAGTGGAGGGGAAGGAGAGGCAACCAACGTAGCAGAAAATGAGTGCAACAGGAAGAATACAAGTCCTCTGGTTTTATTGCCAATTTGGAGTTTTATCGCCAAGAGACAGAGGTGTAACCATGCAAGGAGAAGGGCAGCTTCCCTCATGGCCATGAACAAATGGTGAGGAGAATCAGGCCACCTTTCCCTCCTTGGTGACAGCTCCTGCCAGGCTGGAGGAGACTGGTTTTGAAGCTGATTCTCACCACGTTTTGCCCACATTGGCTCTGGCCATCCTTTTCCCTGACGTGCAAGTGAGGGCAGCTCTGGCACACCAGTCCCGGAGATGTCCAACTCTGGTTTAGGTATTCAGTCCCACTACAGCTTCGCCTAACCAATAGCATGCCCAGATCTACTGTAGCTCATCTAACCAGTACCTTGGTCGTCACAGGAGATATGCTGCACTGCTGGAGAACTGGGGAGACTGCCTCAAGACAGTAACTGACTCCTACTGACCTCAGCCCAAGGAAAGCCACGTTATCACTCGCTTCTGTCACCTTGCACTTCATGGCCTTAATCAACACCGATTTATATTTAGAAAGTAAATTAATTGCTGAGAGTGCTGCAATTTCTTACCTCACTCAACTTAGCCCAGTTGAACGATTTCAGTGGATGTGAAGGCTGCGGGATAGATTTCTTCTTCAGGCTGGTGCCACTGCTGCTGAAGGTGGTTGTTGAAGGGAGTGGCATCCCCATGCTGAAGAAAGGTGGTGCTCCTGGTGGGGGAGGAGGTCCTCCTGGAGGAGGTGGTGGAGCAGGAGGAGGGGGACAGCTGGAGAAAGGCAGAGGAGGTGGCAGCGGTGGCACATTCTCAGACATGTGAGAAGAGGACAAAGCTAATGGGCCACCTGGAGGCGGGGGTGGTGGGGGTGGGAAGGAAATGTTGCCCCCTTGCTGGAAAATAAAAAACGCACAGAAAAAGAAAGCAAACAGTTTAAAAGGCACAATAACTTCATGTTGCCAGCTGATGTGATTTTATTACAAGTCTCAAAATATTTGATGTTTTCTTTAAAGCCTTCTGCACTCAAAGCCATGCAATAAAGGGAGGAATCTCAGCTTTCATTTAAGAGAAAGTTTCAAGCCCTTGAAGTTGTGGAGAAGAGCTTGAAAAAAGGAACCATAAATGGTTCAGAAAAACAGAAAGCTAGTAAAAGAAGCCAAAATGTATTATTTTCTCCTTATGTATGAAAAAAGAGAAAAGTTCAATCTCATGAACTTTTGAACTCCTGGATTTTAAACCTTAGGGTTTGAAATACTGAATACCTGTCATTAGGCCCCACTAATGTAAAGTGGGAGAGAGGAGGAGGGAATGAATCTGCTTGCTGCAGTGTCTAACTTCTTAGGGCCGTGTCCTGGTGAGTTGAGGCTCAGGACAAAAGAAGCGCCAAGCAGGAGGGAGCTACTGCAAACGTCACTTCTGCAGAGGAAAGTGCCTGAAGAGAAGGAATGGATCAGCCCATGCATTATCCATTCTGTACCACCAGCTCGGGGATTTCGGTCTCAACTAAAAGCTGAGCAGCTTCTAAGTATTCATGTTCGTAGCTGGCTAGACAGACTCTCTCTGTACTGACCATAGAAAGTGTTTCACTCATAATGTGCTTTTGTTCATCATTCACTAGTTAGCAGGCTTTAAACAAGGATGGGAAGAGTCCCAGTCTCATACCGAGAACTCATTAAGTTGAGCCACCAGGTCGTTCATCTGGTCCCGGGTCTGGCGCAGCTCCAAGGATTCCTTCTGCAGCTTGTCCTTCATTTTGTTCAGTGTCTTCATCATTTCATCTTTCTCCTGGGTCTTTGTCTCACATTCCCGCTCCTTCTTCTCTAGCCTGCTCATCAGCTCGGCATGATCTAGGGGGAACAGGCAAGTTGGGCTGATGCAATAAAGCTCATGAGCAGTCCCCAAAGAGATGCAGGTTACGGTGAAATAAAGCCGACAAATCTGTCAGTTCAACTAGGGTTGTATAATGAGAGTAGGAAGAAGAAAACAGAGTCTGACTGTCTTGACAGTGATCTTCAGTGATCAAGACAGCAATGCCCAAGTTTCACTTAGAAATCACTTCATGTGAGGACTGAGGGAAGACCCATCCTATGAAACACATAAACTGATCACCACGAGACAAAATGTACTGGAGGGAACAAAAAGCAGGTTTTGTCCATGAAAGGAAATGTTGTGCCCAGCTCTGCTGACCACTGCTCTGTGTCCGGGTCAGTCTTGCCTCCTCTTTTGTCTCCCCAAGCACAGAGGACGCACTCACCTTTCCGAAACTTCTCTGCCTGGTCCCTCCACTGCTTGACTTCATTTTCATTCACCAGCCTGAAAGATGAAATCAGATTATTTAAACTTTTTCCGAGCTACCCAAGCTGAAATGCAAGTGGCCATTCTGTGTAGTGATCAGAAAAAGGCAACCTGGTGAATGTATACATTTATACAGGATCATACCAGTGGCCAGTCTGGTTCCAGATCCTGATCCTTACTGTAGCTAACAGCTAATATGAATGTGATGGCTTGTTGCTCAAAGTCCTGAAAAAGGACAAGGGAATGCCTGGGGAAAAAAATCCTGATATGTTCCTGTCTTCAGGTAATGCCTGCAAAGTGCCAAGTCTACTTATTTTGAAAGAGAAAAGTCGTCACTAAAATAATCAGAGCTGCTGTGGGTTGCAAATTACCCCAGCCTTAATACGAGACCAGATTTCCATCATTTTTTAAACTTTCTGTGTTTCTATTTTTTTCTTTCTTATGAGGAGGGAGGATGCTTATCTGTTGGGTAATATATCAGTAACAAGGCAATGCTCATATCTCATACTGGCAAAGCTATTTCCTATTACTGACAGAAAATATGCAGGGCATGCTGGGGATTGATTAGATATGCAGAATGAGGAGTAGCTATGAAAGTAGAAAGGGAAGATCAGGCATGAGTTCTACAATGAAGTCTGATATTCAGACAGACAGAAGGAGATCAACACTAGTATGTTTTTTCGATGATGAGAAAACAGTTTTGATTTTGGCTCATGCCTGTAACAGGAGGGACTGTAAGATTTTTAGTACAGGAGAATTTGGTTTCATACGAGGCTTATGTTCTATAAAATGCTCTTTTCAGTGGATAATTCAGAAGGGTAATGGACCATGAATTACCTGCAGAGGCAGATGGATGGAATGAAGAGTCCAAAAGTTTGGCTAAAAAAGGACTGAGAACAGGGAAGTTGAGATGAGAGCCAGCTCATGTAGCTAGACTTCTCAAATGATGCGTCCTATGGGAAAAAATAATGGTAGTGCCCTCAGCCAAGTCTGTGGGTGAGAGCATGCAGATATTTTATGAAGAGGTATAAGGTTTTGTGTGCTAGGTGGGGGCTGCTTTCCACTATTTGAAATCTTTCGAAACTATGTGCTCATTAGTGAGGAATGAGATCTAAGTAAAGATCATCACAATTATGTTGGGGGGGGAGGGGGGAGGAATATCAATGAAAGCTTTCACCAACATTCTGAATGAAAAAAGGCACATGAGGAAGCCTTGTTATAGTATCATCGGTATTTTTCTGCTCTTTTAACCAGCTTAATATTTAATAGAAATTAGAAGCCAAAGGCAAGGACTTTGCTAGAAAATACTGTCTGGTGAAAATGTCATTAGAAGGAAACTATTTAGAAGACTAACCAGACAACGAGAAGCTGTAAGTTAAAAAAAGAAAGTCCTCAGGTATGATATTTTATTTCCTAAGCACCTGCATACTTATGATATACTTATACTTGCATAATACCAATAAACAATAATAATGCTACTTACATTTTAATGATATTTTTGACATTGAAGTTTTCCAATGGAGCTATATCCGGATCATCTCCTCGTTCATCCTGAAGAACAATTTGTTGGAGTATTCTGTCCAACAGCTGCCACTGCTGGAAGGTTCCTCCATTCCTCTTATCTGAATGGAAAAAGACCAACCCAATAAGAACTTCCATTTCTATGCCAAAGTGCACAGACCTGCCAAAAAACTGGCATTCCTTCCTTTCCACCCTCCATCTCAATCCTGTATGTAGTAAATTATAGAACACAAAGTCTAACCTTGAAGTGTTGCTAGCAGATTATTTACAAACACCCAGCATATTGGAACAGCACATAACAGGCATGGGCAACTCTAGGCCTGATATGCACATTCAGGCTGTGCAACCCTTTTGGCAGATTAGCTCTAACTTGCACTTCAAACACCTACAGAAGTGATTCCTTTGTGAGAGCTGTTACTCAATATTTTCTGGGGGTTGATGTTGGGATTTCTTTTGGCACCTAGGTAACATCATGACCAGGCACTGTAAAAAACAATCAGACGTTCTACCTGCATGCTCAGTTCTCTGCAGGTCAGTGAAACTCAACTGGCATGAAAAATTCATACAAACATGACCAAAAAGTGAGGAGAGAAAGAACAGAAATTGAACCAAAGGGGCTGATCCCATGGATATCAAACAGAAGAGCCAGAGCAACATAAAGTTCATCTCAGCTCCCTGAGTTACATAACCTAGACTTTTAGATTCTTTAAAACTTCTCCAGTACAATCCTGTCCTGGCCTAGCAGGATTTAGTCCTTCTGCCACCAAAAATCAAGGTCAATACCTGAAGCTCAAGTACTGCCTTAAAGAGTAGTATCAAGGAGACCACTGGGACAAACAACTGCTTGAATTTGTGCACAGCAGTACTTCAATCTAATGCCTGCCTGAAAACATACCACATTACTTTCTGAACAAGCACACCACAGTACATCTCCCTCATGGTCCCTTTTCAGTTTGGCTGCTCAAGTATGGTTGAAAGTAATGAAGACCAGCACCTGATACCTAACAGAATCAAGGCAGGCAGTTATTTAGGGATCTTGCTATGCCTTTGCTCAGTTGCTACACTCTGGAAGCATAACTGAATTATTTTGTTACAGTTAACAAGAAGATTCCTATCACTTCTCTTGAAAACAAATGCCAATGTTGTTTTTCAGATGGAGTTCAGGAGCTCTCCACTGATGCATTGCTATGAGATAGCAGCCTGAACACTTACTGTGGAATTTCCCAGTGACAGAACAGCTTTCTGTACTGCATTGTTTCAGCAGAAAAATTCCTCAGTGCATTTTGTTAATATTTGAAATGGTATCTATTTCGGGGAATTCCCTGATCTAGAGCACAAGGGCTCTTTCTTTTTTAAAACTTCTAATTTAAAATCCTTAAAAGCTCTGTCAGTGACTAACTGGAATGTCTCAGCTACTCACAAGTGCAGAGAGGTCAAGCTGCTGCTTTAAGTATTGCGACAAGCATCTGCTGGATGAAGTCAGCATAAGATACCAAGTGCTTTAGCCACTGCCAAGTTCTGAATGGAAGACAAGGGCAGTGTTTGTCTGTGACACTGTACCTATATCAAAGCTTCACCCAGTTCTTCAATACCCCTGGCTCTGGGAAACTGTGATGTACTCACATGGCATCTGCAAGCAGTGCTGGAGGATGGATAACAAATAAGGATAGGCATCTGTGTGCTTCAATCTCTTCTTGATCAACTCAAACATCTGAGAGG